TTGCCACACACCCTCATGCTTTCTCTGATCTTCTGGACACTGGTATGTAGCAAAATATATAATATCACATACCACTCAATCATGTGAAAAGCATACTTTCATACACATCCTTAGAGCCACATACGTTTTCATACATTCACTTCCTGTGTGGATCATTCGTTTATTTTTTAGGAACTAAGAAAAGCTTCTTGCACTAGTTAGTTTCCCTCACTGGATAGAGCATCAGTCTGCAGACTGAAGGGTCCTCAGTTCCATTCCAGTCAAATGCCCATGCTCGGGTTTCGGACTTGATCCCCAGTAGGGGGTGTGCAGGAAGCAGCCGATCAATGATGCTCTCTCATCATTGATTTTTCTATATATCTCTCCCTTCCTCTCTGAAATCAATAAAAATACATTTAAGAAAAAAAAAAGCTTCTTGATGCAATAGGCAAAGCATCTATCTAGTACATGATATTTTAACAGAGTGGACACTTAATACTGACGATTAAAAGGATAATATCAAAGTACTAGGCAATTTCCCCCCCTATAATTACACAGTGTAAAGCATAAAAGCGGAATTATCTGCAGTTATGGCATTTATTTTAATATGCCACTTTAAAGATGATAAGTACTATAAACAAAATAGGGTATGTAATGGAATTACTTGGTAGAGGGGGCTACTTTGTTGGGATGGTCTGGAAAGGACTCTCTGAGGAACTGTCTATATAAGTCTAAGAATAGGACAATGAAAATGAGAGCCTGATGATATGGAGAAAGAGCGTTTCAAATAGAAAGATCAGTAAGTGCATAACTTCTGAGATGAGAACAAACTTGACATACTGGCAGATTAGAATGACAGCCAGTAAGGCCACATGTAGTAAAGGAAAAAGAAAGTAACAGAAGATGAGACCAGAGGGATAGGCAGGAAGGTGGCCAGGTCACATAGGGCATTGAAGGCCACAGAGGGGAATTAACATTTTATTCTACATGCAATGAGGAGCCATTTCTATACCACCCAAATTATATCATTTACAGTAGTGAGATAAATTTACTCTGAATCATTTGTATTTTCTGGTTTCTCTATCTATTCTTATCATTAGGAGTATATTTATAGAAATCGGGTTAAGGATAGAGTCTATGACATTAAAATGGAATTATTTTATGTAAGGTTGTTATATTTTGGGACTGAAACCATGGGTATAATTCCACAACATTTATTAACTATTATAGTACTATACACTTCTACTAAATAATGAAAATTTTGTTATTCCTTAAACTTGTTTTTAAACTAATTTTCAAGACTTTATTAAGCATATAGTTCTTTGGAAGTGATGAATATTGCAAGTTTATTTCTAAATAAAAAATAGGAAATATTATAATCAGACCAAATAGGTCTATAAAAGCTCATTCATTTGCTAAACTATTGTGACCAAAATTTTAAAAAGAAAATGAATTGCTGTCCTTTATACTAACAGTATTTCAGAAGAAAATGACTTAAGTAAAAGGTTTCTTTCCCCTCTATTGGGGGGATCTAGGAAATGAAAGATAGACTAGAGTGTCCAAATAAATATGTTACAATTATCTGAACTTGATCTTTATCAAACTTGTAAAAGGATGATTCAGCTACCTATGAAGCAGAGTATCAGCAAGTGCCTAGAACAAGGAGACAGAGGAAATGAGACAAGCTCCTGTGAACACTTTATACCAATGCTTGCAGCACTTTTGATTTTTTTAGGGGTGAATAAACTTAGTTAAGTGGAAGTTATTTTTAACCATTTTCCATCAATCCTCCTAGGTAGAGATAATTTATAGAACAGATGATTTCAACTAGGGTTATGTCAGGATTTTTGATATGGTGGAATAATATTTCTAAGAGAGACTACTTTGTTAGATTGAATGTTTGGTGAATTTGTTCAAGAAGTATAGTCTATATTGTAAAAATTCTCCTCCTACTGTCTTGAGCCTTGAAAAAGCTTCTCATCACAAGAAATAAAAATGATATACTTAAGCATGTTTAAGGATATTTACCTCTCATTCTGAGAAAATAAAATGCTTAAGAATAATTTACAAAATCACCACATATTTTAAATAAAAAGTGAGAACTCAAATTAGTTTCTGTAAACTAGATATAAATGATTTTCTCCTTTCAAGTTTAAAACAAAGAACCAGAGTCATAAATAATTCTAGCTTGCCAGAGGCATGGCTATTTCTTTATACTGACTGTCGACTATCTAATTTAATTAGAGGTATTAAACTCCATGCTGAGGTCAACGAGCCTTACATCCTCCAATATTACACTTCAACCAGTGCTCATTAATGTGTCTACTGAATGGATTAACACACTAAAGATATATGTACAAAGGAAAGGGGGACAACCTAATGATATCCAATTGTTCATTTGTAATAGGACACATGTTCTAGGCCTCAACTTATTACCTCTAATGTGGAATTTATTAAATTCAGGAGAAAAAATGCCAATACAGAAAGTGATTTTTTATTAAGGGGAACTGGTATAAGACAACTGGTTTCTATGATTAAATTTAAACATTTAACCTTTTATTAAAAAGAAATTGATACTATAATAGAGCTAAAATATAAGCCTGCTACTTAGAAAAATCTTACATACTAGCACTCTGAAGAGCAGATTAAGGACAAGAGTAATAAAGAACAAGAAAAAGAAAAACTCAGTATATAGAGTCATAAATGTTAAGTTGACAGGCTTTACTTTTATATGGTAGGTACTATATATGTGAAAGCAGTGACATTTGAAATTTCAAAATACTTGGAGAATAAACAACATACTTCTAAATAACACGCGGGTCAAAGATTCTCAGGAGAGAATAAAAAATATTTTGAACTAAATGAAAATTAGTTCTGAAAAAGGATACTAGTGATGGGTGTATAACAGTAAATGAATTTTATGCCAATGAACTGTACATTTAAAGTAGTTAATAGGGCAAATTTCATGTTGCACATATATTTTATATTAAAAACAACAACAACCCTCTTTCTATACTTATATGAAATTCTTAGTGTTCAAGGTTTAAGCCCTCAAAATTACAATACTTAAATTTTTCACTATTTAAAAGTATAATTTCAAATAGAACTCAACTATTTAACAATTCTTAAATGGTATTATCATTTCCAAAATTAATTTTGTTGTGATAGCTGATTGTTAAACATCCATTTCAGATTCTTCTTATATAATCAGGACAAACCATTGTGAATGTTTTGAATGAAATAATTAATCTTATTTGACATTTCTACAAAGGTCACAGGTAAGAAAGTTTAAGTATCATATAATGATCAGGTTTAATATAGTGAAGTAAAACTATCCTAACATAATTTTTAAAAAGTATTTTAACCCTTTGCACTCCGCTGTCCCCTCTCAGGGGACATCGGAATTCTAGCATATCACTCGGATGTCCCCTCTCAGGGGACACTGCAGTTTATTAGTGATTACGGGGAACTGAGTTAATTCAACGCACGTGTCCGCCGTTAGCGTCGAGTAGCTGGTAGCCAATGTCCAGAATGGTTTGGAGTGCAAAGGGTTAACAAAAAAATGATTTCCTTTATTCTGCTCTTATGTGTGCAATCTAAGGTACTATTAATTTTAGACTGCTCTGGGGTTTAAAAGTTGTATCCATGGAGCCAAAAAATGATAATGATAAACATGAGTCACTGCCAAGTTCTTAATGATTAAAATTATTTATCTTTTTGTATTATACTCATAATTGTCTCTAATTTGAGCATGGCTTATTTTCAGAGATTTAAAATGAGTTGATGGAACAAAGTGCTTAAACTTTAAATTTCTTCCTGTCACTGGCTCATTTTTTTGTGTTTTAATTTTAAAAAAAAATTTTAACTATAGTATTTATTTATAATTATTTTTAAATTTATTTTTATTGTTGAAAGTATTACAGATGTCCCTCTACCTAACTGCCCCTGAATCCCCGCATACCTCCTCCCAAGCCTACCACACTATTGTCTGTGTCCATCATGGCTCATTTTGTACTTCTAAAAACTACATGCCAAGAAATTCTATAGCAAACCTCTATTGAACATGTTTTCCTACATTTATCAATTATCTCTACCTTTATTAATACTTTCAATCTAATTAGCATCCTTATATTACTTTTACTAACCATTACTCATTTAGTAAGCATTTTCCAACAACATACTAAAATATAAAATAAAAAAAAGCATCAAGGATATTAAGTCAATCTTATCAATATGTGAGAAGAGTTCTAAAGTTCCTTTTCAATAGTGTGATAAGAGCACTGTTTTCATAGCTTATTAATGAAGTGTACAGAGCTTTAATATCAAGGAACAAAATATCAAGTAAAAATGACCTATGATATTAAGTTGGTTACATGCAGCAGTGGTTTTGAATAAATGGAGGAGGAAGAAAAGATGGACGAAGCGAAGAAGGCAAAGAGAATAAATGTTGGACAAGATTTTAATTTAAAAGTATTTCTTCTAACAAAACCAAATACACACAACTGTACCTGAGGTATCCCTGTGGTTAAAATGATTTTTGGATAATGGTGCTAGCTACAGTAAAATGGTGTCATAGGTTTTAGAAGGTGTGGGCCATCGAAACTACTCCAGTATCTCTTGTAAAATTATTTAAATTAATTAAGTCTTATTTTATCTGCTATATTAGTTTTAATTAAAAGTTGTAATAAAGGATGTTATATTTTAAGTGCTTTTGTAATAATTTATTTTCCCCCTCTCCCTCAATCAATAAAAACATATCTATCCATACAAAGGAATTTTAAATATAATTTCACAACTTTGTATACACAAGTTTTTCAATTTGTAAGATCTCCATTTTCTTGAAGGAAAATCTTTAGATCAGACTATCAATCATATCATTAAAAAAAAACAGAGTTTGTTCTATAACAATACTGTTTCTGAAGACAGTATTGGGTGAGTACTCAGAATTAGTGTTTGATCATTTAGATTACTTATATATTTTATATATTAATTTTTGTAAATACCAGGATTTTAACACTTACTTTTTTGGTCAAAGAGTCATCAGACTCAGAAGGCATTCTTGTGGATACATGAAAAATTACTTCCATTGTAGAGGTAGCAAAATATGGTGTGGTCAGACCAGTGCTTTTGTTTTTCTGTAGTCCTCCCATGAAACCACAATGGTTTGTAAGATTTACCTAGAAGCAATGAAGAGACACAATATTAATCAACTAAACAAAATTTTAAAAAACTCAGTCGAAAAAGAGCAAACTTTTCACTTTGTAAAAACAAGGGGAAGGAGATCAACTAATGCTTGACCCAGAATTACCAGTGAGAGCTGCTCTGTTCACTTCAGTATTTTTTCTTAAGTATTCGAAGATCCCTAATTAATAGGAGTTAATTAGAAAAGAAATGAACTGCTGTGTACTATGAATCTCTAGTTAGGCTACTAGGTGTTAATGGTAAAGTGTAAAGGCTGTGGGTTATTTTAAATAACCGTTTTATCTGGAAATCATTGAAAATTCACATGAAGTTTTAAAAAATAATAAAAAGAAACCCCATGTACCTTTTACCCTGATTCCTCCAGTGAAAAACTATATTACAACCAGGATACTGACAATGATAATGTTAAAAGACAGAACATTTTCATCATGAGAGGATCCCTCATGTTGCCCTGTTACATGATTCACTCCCACCTCACTGCTTAACCTCTGGCAATAACTAATCTGTTCTTCACTACTAAAATTGTCATTTTAAGAATGTTATATAACTGAAATTACAGAATATGCAACCCTCCCAAGTGTTTGGAGATTTTTCAGTTAATGATTTCCAGTTTGATCCCATTGTATGATTTCAATGCTTTTAAATTTGAAGTTTGTCTTATGGTCCAACATATGGTCTATTTTGGGAACTTGAAAAGAATATGTATTCTGTTGTTGTCAGGCAGAGTGCTATATAAATTAATCCCTCCTGATGATGATGTTGAGTTCTTCCACATACTTGTTGATTTTCTGTCTGGATCTTCTCTTAGTTGTTGAGAGAGTGGTGAAGTTCCCATCTATAATTGTGGATTTGTTTATTTCTTCTTTTAGTTCTATCAGTTTTGCTTCATATATTTTGCAGCTTGCACATATAGGACTGTTATGTTTTCTTGGTGGAGTGACCAGATTACACCCCTCATCCCCGTGCACGAATTTCATGCACCAGGCCTCTGGTATGCATATAAGATCTTTGGTTAATCTCTTCCTGCCCTCCCCCTCCTTCCTTTTCTCTGAGATTCATCAACCCTGCATTGAGCATCTGCCCCCTGGGTTTTATTATATAGGACTAGAGGCCTGGTGCACAGATTTGTGCATCAGTGGGGTCCCTTGGCCTGGCCTGTGGGAATCGGGCCCAAACCAACTCTCTGACATCCACTGAAGGGTCCCAGATTGGGAAAGGGCACAGGCCAGGCCAGGCCAAGGGACCCTACTGATGCATGAATCTGTACACCAGGCTTCTCGTAGATAGATAATACCAATGATGTTGTCATTCACCAGTCTGAGTGAAATATAGAAACCCTATATCACTTTATGGCCCTTCACTTTCCGTTCTATAATAATAAAAGAATAATGTGCTAATTAGACCGGACAGCTGAACAATCTTCCAAACGTCATTCTGGATGTCCTTCTGGACTAAGCCATGGTGGTGGGGGCTGAGGCAGAGGCGGCTAGGGGTGATCAGGCAGGCAGGCAAGCAGTTAGGGGCAATCAGGCAGGCAGGCAGCGTGGTTAAGAGCCAGCAGTCTCGGATCGCAAGGGGGTGCAAGCCGCCTGAGGGACCCCCTGTCCCACCCCATGCATGAATTTCATACACTGGGCCTCTAGTTGTAATATAATTGTTATGAATATTTTCATGGCACTACATTTAGAAAGACATAAGACAGTGAAATAATTTTTGTAACAGGCATCAAACATGGGTGGTACATTTACCCGTATTTTTTTTTTTTTTTTTGCCATGCTCTTTCTTCCTGATGTTCCAAGATTCCTTTTATAATTTCCTTTCTGTTAAGAGAACCTTGTAGTGATTCTTTTAGGGTAGGTCTGCTGGCAACAAATTCTATAAGTTGTCCTTAATTTGAGAATCGTTTACTTCATTCCTTTGCTAGCTATAAAATTCTGGGTTGACAGTCTCCCCCACCACTACCACTACTTGAAAAACATTGTCATTTCCTCTAGTCCCCATAGTTTCTGATAAAAATTTCACTATCATTCTAATTGTTTTCCCATTATAAATAAGGTCCGCTTTTTCTCTGTACACCATTGAGATTTTTTTTGTCTCTAGCATTCTCAAGTTTAATTATGATGTATCTTAATAGAGATTCCTTTTGATTTCCTGTTTGGGTTTCACCCAGCTTCTTTGATCTGCAGTTTTCCTACCTTTATTTCTCTTGCCAAATTTGGGAAGTTTTTGATATTATTTCTTCAATTGATTTTCAGATTGAACCTCTTTCTACTTTTTATTCTTTTTCTGCTTTCAGATTAGTTTTTTTACAATTCTATCTTCCAGTTTATTTATTCTTTGTTCTGCACACCAATCTCTACCTGGTTGTTGCTGGGCCCATCTATTATGTAGGCTTTAAATTTGTTATTGTATTTTCAGTTCTAAATTTCCATTTAGTTCTTTGTATCTTCTTTCTTTGCTAAGACTTTATGTTTTTCATTTGTTTCAACTGTGTTCCCAATTGCTTGTTGAAGCATTTCCATTACGCCACTTTAAAATCTCTTGTCATCTTACCCTGAACGGCGTGATCACTGGTTAGAGCATTGACCCATGCATCAAAAGGTTGCTGGTTTGATTCCTGATCAAGGACATATACACCTGGGTGATGGGGTCATTCTCTGCCCCTGATTAGAGCATGTATGGGAGGCAACCAGTCAATATCTGTCTGTCTCTCTTCCTTCCTCCCTCCCTTACTTTCACCCTCTGAAAAGCAATGGGAAAAATATCCTTGATGAGGATTAACTAAACAAAAGAACAAACAAACAAAATCTTTGTCCTCTTGGCGTTGGCATCTACTGTCTTTTCATTCAGTTTGAGACTTTCCTGTTTTTTTGTACAATTTCTGATTGAAGCCTGAATATTTTCAGATGTCAGTACTTCATTCCTTTTCATGGTTGAATAATATTGTCATATGGATAGGCCATACTTTGTTTAGGGTTCAGATTGCTCCAAATCCTAGCCAACAATTATTATTACTGCTGTCTATTTGATTCTAGTTATCCTAGTGAGTGGCATCTCATTGTGATTTTGATTTGCATTTCTCTGATAGATAATAAGAACAGGCATTTTTTTTCATATACTTACTGGTTGTTTATCTTCTTAGGAAAAATGTCTATTTCAGGTACTTTGGCCACTTTTTAAATTGGGTTGTGTACTAATTATTAATTTATGTACCGGTAAGTTCTTTATAAACTTTACAAGTGATTTGCAATTATATTTGCCAATTCTGTGGATTGTCTTTTCACTTTGTTGATAATGCTCTTTGAAGCACAAAAGTTTAAATTTTAATGAAGTCCAATTTATTGTTTTTCCTTTGCTGCTCATGTTTTTAGTGTTATATCTAAAAATTCCCGTTATTTATAAATTATACTTCAATATAGCTGAAAAAAAGAGAAGAATCCCCTGACAAATCCAAGGCCATGAAGATTTACCCATTTTTGTCTTGTAAGAGTTTTTTGTTTTTTTAAATATATATATTTTTTTATAGATTTCAGAGAGAAAGGGGTAGAGAGATAGAGAGAGGAACATCAATGATGAAAGAGAATCAATGATCAAATGCCTCCTATTGGGGATTGAGCTCAGAATCCAGGCATGTGATCTTTTGGTTCATAGGTTGAAGCTCAACCAGTGAGCACACTGGCCAGGCCTAAGAGGTTTTTTTTTTCTTTCTCTTTTTTATTGTTAGATTTTTCAAACATACAGCAAGGTTGAAAGAACACTCCTATATCTACCACTTAGATTTAACAACAAAACCAGTCTTCTAAGAGTCTTATAGTTTTAGCTCTTACATTCAGGTCTTTGATCCATTTGGGTTAATTTTTATATACAGTGTGAGAGGTAAGAATCCAACTTCATTCTTTTGCATGTGGCTCTCCAGTTGTTCCAGCGTTATTTGTTAAAGAGTATTCTTTCTCCACTCAATAGTCTTGGCACTCTTGTTGAAAATCAGTTGACCATAGATGTGTGGGTTTATTTCTGGAATTTAAATTGTGTTTCATTGATAGATATGTCTATCTTTGATGCAAGTACTAAACTGTTGGATTAGCATTGCTGTGTTCTAATTTGTTCTTTTTCATATGTTCCTTGCTTTTACTAATACTTATTACCAATACTTTTCTGCTTTGTATTTTTTAAACAGAAAATCCATTTACAGTGTTTCTTTCTACTTTCCACATATATAATCTCAGCTGGGCTTCACATCATATCTGTTGGGTAAAAAAAGTATATTACCTTTGACAAATAAGCAAACAAACCCAGAGAGCTCAAATAACTTACTTAGGGTGAAATAACAGGTTAGATCAGCCATAAAATATAAACTGAATGATAAAGGCTTATGTAGTGGACACTGTGCAAGAACTGGAATTTAAAAAGAAAATAAAATAGGGCAAAAGTATCTGCCTCCCAGTAGCTTACAGTCTAATGCACTAGCCTTCAACAATTTTGCTTATGAATTCTCTACAGGAATTTTGAGAAACTATATATTAAATTGACAACTACCATAAAATTTTTCATAAGTTTAATGATACAAAGAGATAATTTCTAGTATACTGTATGTTACTATATGTGCTTTAAGCATATTTTCATTAAAATCTTAGAGCTGTAGATTTTGCTGAATATATATAAAATGTCTGCTACTAACTTAATAACATATCAATCAGCCACATCAAATTCACTTTCATGTCAGGACATACCTGACAATTTTTCAATTAAAATAAATGTCTTACTAATACTAGACAAACATGTAAATTGACCGTACCTCTGCTACGCCACCAGCCAATAAGAAGCAATATGCAAATTAACCCAATAAAGATGACAGTTAAATTTGAATACACAGGCACAGATGGGTCTGGGATGCAGGCATTCTCAGGGACTCTGAGCAGCATGAGAAGGTGAGGCCAGAGCGGAAAGAGGTGGCTCCAGGGCATGAGTGGAAAGGGGCTGGACCGGAGTGGAAAGTCGGTGCTGGCAGCAAGGAAAAGGAAAGCCCATTCTAGCATGAATCTTCATGCATCGGGCTTCTAGTATTAATATAAATTTTTGTGGTACATATCTCACTGCTGATTTACAATTCTAAGATAGATTTGACATAGAAAACTTGATGTGAGTTTGCCAGGATGACCTAAAGTGCAATACCTTTCCATATTTCTTGCTTTGCTTTTAGAGACTCTTTTAGGAACATGACCTCTTGAATGAACTGTCTTTTTTTGGTTCTAAACCTTCTGGGACAATGCAGGACTTGGGTGGGTGAGTGGTAAGCCTTTCTTTTACAAAAACAAAGAATAGAAAAGGAGAGGAAAGAGGCTACAAAAGGGTTCTCAGGCATTAACTTTAGTAAAGTTGAGAATCTATCTGAAAACTAATCTCCTTAAAACTAAACATGTTGATGTGCCCCCTAGAAAGCCTTGTATAGTTCCAAGGATATTTATATCTTAGTTTGAAGACTAACAGTGTAGTATTTGTAGTTGTGAAAAAAATCCAAATCGCTAAACCTATGTGTTTCATAGTCTCTGACAATATATTATCTTATAAAGTAGTCAACAATTTCTGTTCAAAGTCCCAACTGCTACTGTCCTTTCAGATGAGATAAGATAGAAACAATAACAAACCCACTGTATAGTTACTGAGTCTCCTAATGCTTCTTCTATAAAATAAGAATTTACTGCTTCCAAATAGAAATAAAATATTTGGTATAATTTAACAACAGTACCTCCCAACCAAGACCAGCTACAAAATCTTCATATGCTTGACTCCCTCCTGTATTAGTGAGAATGGAATGTTTATCTTCTTGTCCTTCAGCAACATAAAATACAGCGATTTTGTGTGTCTCTCGGCTATAAAACAAAAGATTATACCATTCATTTAAACATTAACTTATTGGTTCATTATCCAATAATTCTGTTCTTTTTTTATTTTTATTTTATTTTATTGATTTTGTACAGAGAGGAAGGGAGAGAGATAGAGAGTTAGAAACATCGATGAGAGAGAGTCATCGATCAGCTGCCTCTTGCACACCCCCTACTGGGGATATGCCTGCAACCAAGGTACATGCCCTTGACTGGTATCGAACCTGGGACCTTTCAGTCCCCAAGCCAACGCTCTATCCATTGAGCCAAACTGGTCCCGGCGGCCCAATAATTATGTTCTGTGTACAAAGTATGTGGCAATAAAAAGATGAAAATGTATTAAATCTTATAACCTGAAGAGAAAGATAAGTAATTATAAATGAAAAAATTATAAAAATTACAAAATTGCCATTAGAACAGAAGAAAGGTATGATTACTTCTGACTGGAGAAACTTGAATAAGGTAATACTGAGTTGAGTGAAAGTAAGATTTGACAAATGAAGAGGAATATATCAGGAAAGGCACATAGGTGGCAGTGCACATCTTAAGAGTTGCCTGTTGTACAATGTGGCTGAATCCTAGAGTTAAAGGAATTGTGGTTTAGAAATAATATAGGAGAATAGAGATGAGTGAGAAATGATTCATTTCTTCAAAAGTACTTATACAGAAGAAACGTGTACACAATTATTATAAAACTGTCATCCTTGGCAGCCAGGAAGACTGTGCAAGCCCAAGGCTATTTCCTCTTTGGATCAATCAGAGAGCGAACCTCCAAGCTACTAGTCTCTGGGTGAATATGCGGCAAAAAAAAAAAACCACTCTGAACATAATAGCTGCCTCCAAGCCACATCCACAGTAAACAATAAAAATCTAACTGGTTAAAGGAAATAAAGCACAAACTTTTATTAATAAGTAGATTAGGTCAACCCAGGGAGAACCCTTGGTAGCAAGGCTAAAAGAAAAATTTTCAAAAAAAACAACAAACACAAAAAACGAGCATGGAGATAAGAGGCACACACCCTGGGCCTGGGGAATAGAATTTGCAACATTAGTTCAGCCAACTCAGTAGAAAATAAACTAATAATCAAGCAAACCACCACCACTACCAAACTTTTATTTTATATCAGTGATGAGAAAGAATCTCTGATCGGCTGCCTCTTACTGGTATGTGCTAGTAGGTATGTGCCCTTGACCAGAATCAAACCCAGGACCCTTCAGTCCATAGGCTGATGCTCTCTATCCATTGAGCCAAACCAGACAGGGCCCACCAACACATTTTTGATTCAAAGACACAGATAAAGTTGAAAGCAAAAGAAATGAAAAAAGACACCAGCAAAGAGAGCTGAAGTGGCTACATTAGTATCAGACTTGAAAATAAAAACATTATTAGAGATAAAGATACATTTCATACTGTTAAAAGGTTAACTAACAGGAAGATATGAAAATTAAAAACATATATGCACTTTCAAAGTACATAAAATGAAAGACAGAATTGAAGGCAGAAGAAGACATTTCTACATTTCATCTATACATTGCAGGAGACATCAATACCCCATTTTCAATAATGTGCAAAAAAACCTAAGGGAATATCAACAAGGAGTTAGAAGATTTAAGTAACAGTATAAACCAACTAGACCTAACAGCCAACTACAGAACACTATCCAACAGTAACAGAAAACACATTCTTCCCAAGCATACATGGAATGTCTTTCAAGATAGACTACTTAGTAAACCATAAAACAAGCCTCAATAAATTTGAAAGACCTGAAATTATGCAAAGTACATTTTCTAATCACAATGGAATAAAATTAGATATCAGTAAAAGAAAAAAATTTGGGAAATTCACATATATGTGGAAATGAAACAAAGTACTCCTAAATAACTAATGGGTCAAAAATAAATCTCAGTGGGAATTAGAAAATATTAGAGATGAATGAAAATAAAAGCATAATATACCAAAACTGATAGCATGCAGGTAAAGCAGAGCTCATTGGGAAAGTTACAGATGTAAATGCCTATATTAAAAAGAGGAAAATATCTCACATCAATAACTAAATCTTCCACCTTAAAAAACTAGAAAAAGATAACCAACTAAACTCAAAGCATACAAAAAGAAGAAAATAATAAAGGTTAGCATGAAAATAAATGAAACAGAACAGAAAAATAATAGAGAAAATCAAGGAAGCCAAAACTTGGTTGACGTGATTAAAAAAAAAAAAAAAAAGAGAGAAACTCAAATTACTAAAAATCAGGAACAGAAGAAGAGACATCACTACATAGCTTACAGAAATAAATACCTTACAGAATTATAAGGGAACTAGTGACCCGGTGCATGCACTCGAGAAAATTCATTAGAAGGTGGCCTGTGGGGCGGGCCTGGGCGAGGCAGGCCGGACATGCCCCGGAGCCAATGTCTCTTGGTCCCTTCCTGTGACTGTGCAGTGAGCAGGGTCCCTCTGGCAGGGGGGTCCCTTGGCCTGGCCTGTGGGTATTGGCCCAAACTGGCTCTCTAACATCCCCTGAGGGGTCCCAGAGTGCAAGAGGGCACTCTGCAAAGTTCCTGTCATACAGGATGTGGAACACAAATGCAAGTGTGCAGTAAACCAGTTACAGAGTGACTGTGCTCCAGCAACAACATAACCCACAGCTGAAGGTGGAATCGCATGGCCCCATGAGGAATTGGCTCCCTCCTCTCTGGTTTCAAGGAACTGCTGCTGTCAAGTCACTGCAACTCAGAAGCTCCTGCACTGAGCATCTGCCCTCTGTTGGTCAGTACAAGTCACAGTGACCAGTTGGACAGTGGGAGGGACACTTAGCATATTAGCCTTTTATATATATGAATACTACCAACAACTGTATGCCAACAAATTAGATAAATCAGATTAAATGGACAAATTCCTAGATAGACACACACAAAAAAAAACAACATAAAAGAAATAGAATGCCTAAATAGATCAATAACAAGTAGAGATTGAATTAGTAATATGATTGAAAAAGAAGAGGTAAAAGTACCTCTACTTGCTGTAAGATGATTTTGTACACAGAAAATCCTAAGGAATACACCAAAAAGCTATAAGAGCTTTCAATAAATGAGTTCAGCAAGTATTCAGGATACAATATGTATATAGAAAAATCAATTATATTTCTATACACTAGACACCTAAGATCTCTCCCTTCATCTCTAAAAATCAATAAAAACATTAAAAAAAAAGTTAAGCTCCTGCTAAAATTTCTAGTTACAAAACTATCACCAAACTCCTAAATAAAGACTTCTAATAAACATTAAGTAAACAAGCTATACACACACTTAAGAAAAACTGATGAAAAAGAAGATATTTTTCAACCTGCTTATTCCAGTTCAGAGTTGCAGGTGGCTGGAGTTTACTCAAGTAGCTCAGGGAGCAAGACAGGAACCAACCCAGGACAAAATGCCATTCCATCATAGGGAGCACTCAGACCCCCACACTCACTCATACTGGTAAAATTTAGACGTGCCAATTAATCTAATGTGCACATCTTTGGAATGTGGGAGGAAAATGGAGTACCTAGAAAAAAACCCACTCAGATATGGGGAGAATGTGAAAACTCCACAAAGAATAGATTTTCCCTCCTCATCAATGATATAATGAAACATAATTAGCTCTAGCTGGTTTGACTCAGTGGATAGAAGGGTACTTACTGGGTTCAATTCTGGTCAAGGGCACATACCCGGATTTCGGGCTTGATCCCCAGAAGGGGGAGTATGGAAGGCAGCCAATCAATGATTCTCTCTCATCATTGATGTTTCTATATCTCTCTCCCTCTTCTTTCCTCTCTGAAATAAATATATATATTCAAAAAAGAAACATACGTAGTTAAAATTCGAGGACCTGCTATATTCTGAAAACTATAAAACACTGTCAAAGGAAATTAAAGATCTTAAAAGAAATCCCACATTTATGGACTGAAAAACTCCCCAAATTGATCCACAATCCTAATGCAACCCCCATCAAAACCCCAGGCTAGCTGATCCTATTGTACAATTCACAGGAAAATTCAAAAGATTCAGAATAGCCAAAACAATCTTAAAAAAGAAAATCAAGAGAGGATTCTTAAATTCCTTATGTTAAAACTTGATATAAAGCTATAACAACCAATGTATTGTGGTACTGCCGTAAGAATAGATATGTAGATATATTTGGAACAGAATCTTGGGTCCAGAAATAAACCCTTATATACGTCATCAATTGCTTTTTGACAATGTTATGAAGACAATTCAATCAGGAAAAGAATAGTATTTTCAATAAATGGTGCTGGGGCATCTGGATAGCTACATGCAAATGAATGGAGTTGAATTCTTATCTCACACCATATATAAAAATTAAATAAAGATGGGGGAGGGAGATCTGGGGGAGATAATAGATCAACCTAAGGACTTGTATACATGCATATAAGTACAACCAATGGACATAAAACTCTAGGGAGGGAGGGTATGTATGGGAGGGAGGGAGGGGGGCAAAAAAAAATATATATTTTTTTTTTAAAAAAATGGACTATAGAGTTAAATATAAGGTCTAAAATTATAAAAGTCTTTTAAAAAGTTTATAAAGCTATAAAATGTCCACAAAAAACTGTACATGAGTATTCATAACACTATAAAAGTAAAACCAACCTAAATGTCCACCAATTTATGAATGAATAAACAATATTTAGTATAGTGATACAATTCAGCAATAAAAAAGTGAAATGAAGAGGCATGATGCAATATAAACTTTGAAAACACTGTGCTATGCCTATCAAAAAGATCACATACTCTTTGTTTCCTTTTATAAACATTGTCCAAAATAGATAAATATGAAGATATAGAAAGTAGATTAGTGTTGGCTAGAGCTGGGAGTTGGAGGTAGTGTTCAAATATAATAAGGAGTGACTAGTAATGGGTACAGGGCTTCTTTTTGAAGGCACTAAACTATTCTACAGCAAGAATGTTGTGATACTTGCACAACACTGTGAATATACTGAATACATCTATAATAATAAAAGCATAGCATGCTAATTAGACCAGAGAGCTGAATGATCTTCCAAATGTCATTCCAGATGAAGCTGCAGTGGCAGAGGCTGAGATAGAGGCTGTTAGGAGTGATCAGGCAGGCAGGCAAGTGGTTAGGTGCAATCATGCAGGCAGGTGAGTAGTTAGGGGCAATCAGGGAGGCAGAGGCTGTTAGGGGTAATCAGGCAGGCAGGTGAACAGTTAGGGGTGATCAAGCAGGCAGGCAGGCAGGCAAGCAGGCAGGCGAGGGGTTAGTGGGTAATGAGGAGGCAAGCAGAGTGGTTAAGAGAGATCATGCAGGCCAGCAGTTAGGAGCCAGCGGTCCTAGATTTTGAGAGGGATGTCTAACTGCCAATTTAGAGGGGTCCTGGATTGTGAGAGGGTGCAGACCAAGTTGAACAACCCCCATCCATGCACAAATTTTGTGCCACCAGGCCTCTAGTGTGTACTATAAATGAGTAAATTGTATGCTGTGTGAATTATCCTATCTAATAAAAGTAATATGCAAATTGACATACCTTTGCTACACCCACAAGCCACACCCACCAGTCAATCAGGAGCGAGTATGCAAATTAACCCAACCAAGATGGCTGCAGCCACAGAGCGAACAGGAGGCTTGGGTTTCCCTGGCCATGGAGGAAGCCAAGCTTCCTGCACACCCTGGCTGGCCCAGGCCTCCGCTCAAGGCTACGAAATTTTAATTATAGAAGGTAAATAAATCCCAGATACCAGGGCCTCCGCTTGGGCCGCTGGGGGGTGTGGCCAGCCTGCAAACCACCACAGGCCCCTCGTCCAGGCTGCTCCACACACCAAGGGAATCCCTACCCTGATCCGAGACATCCTTCAGGGCAAACCAGCTGGCCCCCACCCAAGCACCAGGCCTCTAGCCTATCTAATAAAAGAATAATATGCAAATTGACCATCACTCCAAAACACAAGATGGCTGCCCCCATGTGGTCAAAGATGGCTGCCCCCCACGGGGACACAAGATGGCCACCACAAGATGGCCAGCAGGGGAAGACAGTTGGGAGGGACCAGGCCTGCAGGGGAGGGCAGTTTGGGAGGGGGGAACCCGGGTCTGCAGGGGAGAGCAGTTAGGAGTGACTAGGCCTGCAAGGGAGGGCAGTTAGGGGCCATCAGGCTGGCAGGAGAATGGTTAAGGGGTGATCAGGTTGGCAGGCAGAAGTGGTTAGGGGCAATCAGGAAGGTAGGCAGGTGAGCAGTTGGGAGCCAGCAGTCCTGGATTGCGAGTTGGACATCCCTTGAGGGGTCCCAGATTGGAGAGTGTGCAGGCTGGGCTGAGGGACAAAACCCCCCCCACCACCACCAATGCATGAATTTCATGCATCGGGCCTCTAGTATTTCAATAAAGCTGTTAAGAATTTAACTTGGATACATGATCTGTGTGTAAATGCTGATCCTGGCAGAAAGGAACTATTCAGTGTTCTAATTTTTCAAGGTACAGAGCTATCAATTAGAATTCATAAATTTATTAAATTTGGAAGAGCTAGACTGAAATGTTCACCTAATACTATATAAATCTAAAAGTTGAGATAAATGTATGTGCCATAAAAAGAAAAAAAATCTTTAAAATGCAAAAGTAAAAGAGAAATCACTTTTATATTATCCATGTCCTTCTTACAATTTAGCTGCCCTTTTATGTCAAATCTTAATCTTTAATCATTCCTTATTTCTCTACTTACTAACTACTGCTGTTAAAATATTGGTATATTACTATCAGATTAATGTGCATCACAAAAATGAATAACGAGAAAAAGATATTAGGAAAAAATGAAATTAGTTCATCTGTAACCACACTCTATAAAAATATGTGTAGTACTGGCAAATATTATGAGCATACTATGAAAAAATTCAATGTGAAATCTGCTTAGTTATAAGCACATCTGAATCCCTGTATATTTTACATGCTACAATAAAAATACTAATAGAAATTATTTTAAGATTTGAAGTGTAAAAATATTGTGGTTAAATCATGAAAAACAGGAATTGGTTCATTTACTCAAAGAAAATAAAGGATCTATAAATGATCTAAGTAGATAAGAGTATAAAGAAAGAAAACTGTTATTTTTTTAACTCTTTTTTTTTTTAAAGCAAACAAAAAGGCCCTGGCTGGGTAGCTTAGCTGATTAGAATGTCATCCCGATAAGCCAAGGTTGCAGGTTCATCTCTGATCAGGGCACAAACAGGAAGCAACCAATGTATGCATAAATAAGTGGGACAACAAACAGATTTCTCTCTGAAATCAATAATAAATGAATACTTAAAGCAAACAAAAAATGTCATGGGTTCATTTAATATAGAATATTAAAAAAAATTATGTTGTCTCAAGGAAGATGTCCTATTCAAAGTAAACATGAGAATGAAACTACTTCAGCAGAAACCAAGTAGTAGAAAAGCATAAGGTAATGCAAAAACAAACAAACCCAAAACATGAATAGGCAACATTGGCTGCTAAGGTCTGAGCTCTAAATCAGCAATTTTCAGCTGGTGTGCCTTAAGAATTTTTAAAACATGCAATACCTGACTATTTTGTTAGGACATTGACCTCTTTTCCCTCAGATTGTCAAATAAAAAAAAAATGACAATGGCCAACACATCAGTAGCCATCTTATGTGAATGAATCAATATTATACCTATGTTTTTGTCAGATAGGCAAAACACTTATTTTTTTGGTGAATTTTGTAGAATTTTGGTAATTAGATTATGTGTACCATGAGATGAAAAGTGTTGAAAATTGCTGTTCTAGATGAAAGAGTCTGGTTAGGCCCTGGGAAGTCACTAAGGAATAAAATAAAAATTTTACTTTACCAAGATTATTCTAGTACTCAGGACTGTAGAAGAGCCCTGAGAAGAGAGACTAAAGACTACTTAGAGAGCTATTATGAGTCAATTAGAAAGAATGAATAAGAACATGAACAAAGGGGTTGGTATCAGGAAAAGAGGACAGAGATGAGAGGTAATAAGAAAGAACTGTCATAACAATTATGAAAAATCTAAGGGTAAAGGAAAGAAAATGGTGAAGTTTGGCTACTTCTAAATATAACTGGGAAAATTAGCAGAAGAATTTGATTTGGGAAAGAAATGTAAAAATAGGCAGATAAAAATTTATAGTAAACAGCTACAAAATCATGATTGAGACTTGAGAGATAGGTATACATTGGGCAAAAAAAGAATGGAGGTGAGAAGATATGAGAGATATCCTAATGAAAGGGATCACTATGTTAATAGGTAGGGGGTAGAAGATGAGCCAGTGAAGACAAACAGAAAATAATTAGAGAATTAGGAGTTGAACCAGATAATTTTAGTTATACAGAAACCAGGAATGAACAACATTTAACGGAGTGGATCCAGAAACATGGAAGCATGGAACAGAGTGTGGAATCTCAGAGGGAAGGTGGGGGGAGGGTGGATGGGAAGTAATCAACCAAAGACCTTGTATGCATATATGCATAACCCATGGACATAGACAATAGGGTGCTGAAGGCCTAGAGTGGGAAGGGGGGGATAAGGCATATCCAAGGGCTTAAAAAGAAATCAGATTTATGGCAATAAACCCAACCATATCCATCTTCTTTATTCCATTAGTATTTTTTATTAGGTACTAGCTTGTATTCACCAGTCATTTCAATTGGGGCCTCTGAAGACTATTCAAAAAGTCTTTTGGGCCATTTAAGAATGGGAAAACAAAAAGAAAATTTATAGGTTAAATTCTGCAATTCAAAAGTTGATTCTGAAATGCATAAAACAGGTATAAATAATTCAAAGATACATAACATTTTAATATTTTCCTTTAAAAGTTTATTTCTAAAGTATAATAAAATACAGCTTCTGCTCAGAAAGTTGTAACTCAGCAAACACAGTACTATTTTTTACAGAGAAATAGCTGAGAGTTGACAGTTATAAATTTGAGATTTTCCAACAACTTACCACTGTCTTGAATCCAAGTTCCTAAGTTCTCTAAGTAGTTTTTCATTTTTCTTTAGGAGATGAAAGCTCCTCCTAAACAGATAAATTTATAAACATTTTCATCACCTTTGCAGTGAGTGACATGGTAGTCCCAGAAATACTTTCTATTCTACTCATGCAATTCTTGATACTTGACTTACCTTATCATTCTTCTAACACAAAAGAAAACAGACCTTAAAAAAAAAGTAAGGCCTGAGCTGGTTTGGCTGTGAATAGGGCCTGCAGACTGAAGGGTCCTGGGTTTGATTCTGGTCAAGGGCACATGCCCCAGTTGTGGGCTTGATTCCCCATAGGGGACATGCAGGAGGTAGTTGATCAATGAATAATTCTCTCTCTCCCTCTCCCTTCCTCTCTTGAAATCAATGGGAAAAAAAATTGTTTAAAAAAGGAACATGTCATTATTTCTACCCAGACCCTCATATTTTCTGTCAGTAGATCATTATCTATTTCCTTTTACTTTGTAGATGCTGTGAACCTCCCAAATTCATATCCAGAAAAAATAAATAAATAAATAAATAAATAAATAAATAAATAAATAAAAATACTTATAGATTCCTTCTTAAGAGTTTCATTAGGTTAGAAAGTTTTTTCCTCATGAGAAATAAAATATTCTCAAAATCTAAATCATTACCAAGTAAGCATGTGTTACATGGGCGGAATTTGCTTCCTTCCTTGTTTTATACTGTACTATTTTACACAGAAAAATGTATGTATAAGTTTTACCAAATATGATCTATATGTACAAAATGCAGTAGTCTCCCCTGCCCTTAACCTTGGTTTCAATTATCAACTGAAGTCTGAAAACATTAAATTATAGAAATAAAGTTCATAAATTTTGCGTGCCATTTTGAGTAGCATGAAGAATTCTCATTGTCCCACTCTATCTTGCCTGGGACATGAATCATCCCTTTGTCCAGCGTATCCACATTGTATACCTTACCCGTTAGTCACTTAGTAGTCACTTTGATTATCAGAGAGAGAGAGAGAGAGAGAGAGAGAGAGAAACCACATTCCCATAACTTTGTTTACAGTATTATTTTATTATTAGTTACTAATCTACTGTACCTAAGTTAAAATTTAAACTATCAGAGGTATGTCTATATATGTATATATATGCGTGTGTGTGTGTGTGCGTGTGCGCGTGTGTGTGTATGAAAAAAATTTTTAATACATATGTAGTTAGGTAGCATTATCCCCTTTTAGGCATCTACTGGGAGTCTTGGAACGTATCCACTGCAGATAAGGGGGGATAACTGTATGTACAAATTGTTTATTTTAATTTTAATATTTATTGATTTTTAAAGAGAAAAAGGGAGTAACAGGGAGAGAGAGAGAGAGAGGAAGAGAGAGGAAGAGAAATAGTGACAGAGACAGTCATCAATTTGTTGTTCCACTTATTTAAGAATTCTTTGGTTGATTCCTGTATGTGCCCTGACTGGGGATCAAAGTGTCAGTCATGGTGATGGGAACAGTGCTTTAACCAATTGACCTACCTGGCCAGGGCATATATCTATATGTACAAATTATAATCATGAAATCAATGCTTGCTGAGGTAAAATGCAGACTCCCAACCTTTAATTTTTCTTGAGACAATATATAGACCATTCTATAGCAAAAGAGTAGAATGCATTTATACGAGTGGCAATTAACTATATTTGGACATACCATAAGGCAAATTTGTTCCTGATATAATGTGGCTTTCCCATAAGGCAGAGGATATTGCCTTCTAATAAACGGAAAGGTTTAAATCAAGTTAAACACTAAGTAAGCAAGTAGAACTCCATTTCAATGCTTCACATGCATTTGAATTAAAGATTTATTCATTTACTGATAATCTATAATAAGCTTACCACCTACTACAAATTGAACAGAAGCAATAAATTAAATGATGCTTCTATTTTCATACAGCTTTCAGTTTCATAGAAATTTAAAAATTAAACATATATTAATAATGCTTTATACCAGTGTACAATTTTAGTACTTTATGTACATTAACTAATTTAATCCTCACCCCATTATGTTAATTGGAAGTTATTTCCTCCAAGTTTAAGTGACTCCAATCTGGGTCTTCTTATTTAAGTTTATGTAATGCCTTTCCATTTAACTTCTACCTAACTTACTTGAATACTTTGTGTATTGACTGCAAGTTTTTACAACATGCATAAGAAATTTTTTTTACAAAATGATAGCCAGATCCTTTTCTTGTTTTGATGTTAAATCTTCAGTTAATTCCTTTGACAGAAACAAGAAAGGATCATATTGGTATTTGTCTAAAAAAAATTGTAAGGCTTCTGTGACATAAGAAGAAATATATATTTGGGCTCTACCCCCAGTCCCTGACACAGAGCTCCTAAACCCTTGTAAATTCCTGATGATATAGGTGACAGGAACATCTTCACAGAGTTCCTAAATCCCTCAGGATTTCCTGGTAATTGGAGAGCTTTTGTTCTAAAGAGGTGACTCTTGGGTTCCTGGATAACTTCAGGATGAGGCCTTGTCACCATGATTAAAAGATTGGTAAGCGGAATAAACCAATCAGAGAAAGACAAGTAGCACATGATCTCACTTTTATGTGGAATCTAATGAACAAAATAAACTGACGATCGAAACAGATTCAGAGATATAGAAGCATGGAACAGACTGATGAATCTCAGGGTGGGTGTGGGCATGGAAATGGGAAGAGGTTAACCAAAGAACTTATATGCATAACCCATGGACACAGACAATAGTATGGTGAAGGTCTGGGGAGGGGGCAGGAGTGGGATGGAGGGGATCAATAGGGGGACAAATGGGACGTGTAATACTTTCAATAATAAAGATAAATTAAAAAACAAAACTAAGAAGTTGGAACTTTTAGTTCTACCTCTGAGAAGGGGTTTAGAGCTGGAGATTGAGTTAATATCAGTTATGGCTATATGACAGAGCCTCCATAAAAATCTCTAACTATGGGGTTCACAGAGCTTCTAGGTTGGAGAACACATTCAATGTTCTGGGAGGGGAGCACACTTCAACTTCACAGAGACAGAAGCTCCTACACATGGGATCCTTCCAGACCTCACCCTATGTACCTCTTCATCTGGCTATATGTATCCTTTAACTATCCTTTATAATAAACTGGTAAATATAAGTAAATGTTTTGGAGCCATTAGAGCTAATAATCAAATCCAAGTACAGGGTTGTGGGAACCCGATTTGTAGCTGGTCAGTCAGAGTATGGGTGGCCCACAGAGGGGGCAGTCTTCAGGTCTGTGTGACTCCAGGCAGTGTTGGAACTGCATGGTGTGGAAAACCCACACATTTAGTATCAGAAGTGTTATGAATAAGAAAAAAGTTTTTCCTATTAGCTTCTGTGAAGGTTGGAAAAATAAGATTATTTTCAATTATATGCCCCATAATTTCTAAGTCAGATAGTGAGGAAGAGAACAGAGACTAAAATGCTTGATCAAAAGATAAGAAGACTAATGTATAAAAAGAAATTAAGAAAAACTTCTGCTTTATTCTTACCTTTTGTCCCAGGAATTCATTCCCAATATACTAAGAAGCAATCTGCAATAATAAAATGCTGACTGAGGCTTTTGAGGTGCTGGTTCATCTTGCTCCACAGCTTTCAAGTTTAAGTCATTAAAGTGTTTCTCAACAAATTCTTTTTCCTCTGTATGTTGCTTAAGGATAGCATTAATAACATCATTTTCCTGTTTTTCAGAAATGCACACAGGTTGTGGAGCAGGAATATTAAGTGAAATTCCAGTTCTCTGTAAGCATTCAGGACTGGTTACACCTAAATACTGCAAAAGCTCATCAAGAACATCTTCATCATCTCTGATTGTATCCCAAGTTGGTACAGTTTCTCTAAATCTTTTAAACTGACAGGAAATCCCATCTTTTACTGTTATATCTTCTAAGCATTCCGTAGATGTAGGTGGCTCTTCTGGCTTCTCTTGGTGAGACAATGAAAGTATGAGAGATGTAGGTTCTGACAAGCCACTTACAGGAGGTGGTCCATATAGGATAGCAGAATCCCATGAATATTTTCCAGAAAGATCACGTACTATGATTCTGACATTTGAATTGGCTGATGCAAGACCAGCAGATAAACCTCCTCCAGGTATACTCTCTTCTGATCTGATCTGAATACAGGACACTAAAGTTGTATTGTTCAACACAAAGAACTGGATATTTGGACTCTCAAAGAGTTCAGGAGAAAGTTCAGTACTTTCACTGTAGTGATTGTCATGATTTTCACACACCTGACTTGTTAACATAGCAGGACCACCACTCATTGGATAATGGCCCAAGTGATTTACCAGATGTGTAATAACAGTGCGAGCAGCTATAGAAATTAATCCTTGTTGCATTTGAGTTTTCACTAGAAAAAAAAAAAAAAAGTGAGTAAAAATCTGTTGTTTCTAGGATGTCATATAACAATGAGACATTGGACAACCAATAGCGACATTATCAAAACTGCACTCCAATACTTCAGTAATTATTAATATTCCCAATTTAGACGTATTACAGAAACAACAGCAAATAACAAAACTGTTCTTTAGTAAAGTTTTGCTGTTAATTTTATAAAGAGCCCTTTCTGAAAATGTTGCTTATGGATTCTTAATTTAAATTTAAGTCTTTAAATGTACATCATGCCTTAAAAGAAGGATCAGAAGTATTAGAAATCACTTGAAATCACTTAGCACATAGATTAGAAAGCCAATGAAATCCAACTGATAAGTTTATCTCATAAGCAGACTCAGAACAGTTTGCAGCATGCCTTAAATGTTACTTAATTATGGCTTTTATCAATGATGTAAAAGTTTCAGAGAAAACTGATCTTTCACTAAACTTTAAGAGTTGTGATCAATTTAAACAGTGAGTTAGTGTAGCCAATACATAATTAAAAAGCTTTATTTTAAAGAAAAAAGTATTTTATGGATCTGCATATGTCCCCCCCGCCGCCCCCCCCCCCCCAAGTATCGTTCAGGATATTGTGGTCTAGTCTGAGCAGTTAGTTGTATGTAAGAAGCATTTCCACCCCCTTGCTTAAGCACATTAGAGAAAGCAAATAGATTAGGAGCATATCCATGTGAGTAACTTAAAAAAAAAAAAAAATCACAGGAAACAGTAAAAAAAAGAAAAAGCTCAAAAATCATTGCAATAGGAGGCATGAAAAGGCAGGGTGCCTAATGGCAGAACCAAAAGAAGGAAAAGAGAGGGGACAAAGAAGACAAAGAACACAGAAAGAGGGTGTAAAGGGAGGAAGGAAGAAGTGGAGATAGACAATAAGTTGTCAGAGTCCACTAGTCCAAGAATGCCACTGTCATTCTAAGGAGAGCTGATGTGGAAACCCGTTTTGGAATGAGTGGTGTCACGAAGTGGAACAATTTAGTGATGTTTAACTTGACACTTTTCACCTGGGAGATGGAAGGAGAGCTGCCCCTGGTAAATAAGTATAATCATTCATGCAAAAAGAGGACTTTGGTTGGTTGTTTGTGTGCTTATAGTATTCTGGTCTTATTTATTGACATGATTCAGAATGATTGTGTCTCTGAATTTACAGAGTGATCAGAATACTGTTTATTTTCTGAAAGTTAGTCTTTTGGGAATACTATAGTCTAGCTGCCAGAATAAATATAGGTTGATCAAAGTATTATCTATATTCAATAAATTCCTTAATTTTAAGTGTATTTTATGATGAATTTTGGTAACTGTATAGAACTGTGTAACCACCAACATAATCAATATATAGTAAAATTACTACATGAAAAACGGATAAATCTATTCTAGCTAGTTTGGCACAATGGATAGAGCGTTGGCCCACAGACCAGAGTCCCAGGTTCAATTTTGGTCAAGGGCACGTAACTTGGTTGCATGCTCCTCCCCGGATTGGGCCCTGGTTGGGGCACATGCAGGAGGCAACCAACCGATGTGTTTCTCTCACATAGATGTTTCTTTCTGTCTTTCCCTTTCTATTCCACTCTCTAAAATAGGGGTGTCGAACTCAATCAGAGAAGGGGCCAAAATCTAAAATCCAGCCTAAATCGCGGGCCGAATGGTTTACTGAACAGTCATAAACTGTCATTGTGATGGAAACGCAGCGGAGTACAGTGATGACAGCGCGGTGCGGGCCACATTGCAAGGCCTGGAGGGACAGATTTGGCCCGCGGGCCTTGTGTTTGACACATGTGCTCTAAAAGATCAGTGAAAAAATATTCTTGGGTGAGGATTTAAAAAAAGAAAGAAAAAAGGATAAATCTCAGTTTATGTAAATTATTATCTCAACTAGGGGCCCGGTGCATAAAATTTATGCACGGGGAGAGGAGGGTATGGGGTTTCCCTCAGCTCAGCCTGCACCCTCTCCAACTGGGGAAACCTTGGGGGACATCCCTCTTGCAATCTGGGACTGCTGGCTTCTAACTGTTCACCTGCCTGTCTGATTGTCCCTCTGTCTGCCTGCCTGACTGCCCTCCCCTGCAAATCTGATCTTGCCCCCAACTGCCCTCCCCTACTGGCCTGATCTCGCCTGCAACTGCCTTTTGCCTGCCTGAGCACCCTCAACTGCTCTCCCCTACCGGCCTGATTGCCTCTAACCCCCTGCTGGCCTGATCTTGCCCCCAACTGCCCTTTTCTGCCGACCTGATTGCCCCTAACTACCTCTGCCTCAGCCCCCACCACCATGGCTTTGTCTGAAAGGAAGTTGGACTTCTGGAAGATGGACAGTCGACCCAGTCTAATTAGCATAATACCCTTGTAGTAGTATAGATATATAGGATAGGATTGCTTAACTGGGGGTGGAAATCCTTTTCCAGCAGGAGATGCTCTTGGCAGACAAAAACACATAATCCCTGTATCTGGACTGATAGCCAGTCACATGAACTATACTAGGAAGCCAGTCATGACAAAATTGAATTGCTTTCTTACACTATACCAAACAGCTGTTGCTTTTAAAATCCCTCATCAGCCCCTACCTTAGGTTCTGCCTTCAAAGTTCACCCAGATTAGCTTCTGATTGCTCGGTTTCTTTGCCAGTCAGCGTCAAAAGCTCCACCTCCTAGACAGCCATTGGCAATTCGCACTTCACCCAGATTTGGTTCTGATTCATTGGTTTGTATGCTAATCAGTGTCAAAAGCTCTGACTCCTAGGCAGCCACTGGCTCCTGGCACTTCACCCAGATTTGGTTCTGATTGGTCAGTTTCTATGCCAGTCAGTGCCTCAGGGCCTATCTCGGGGCCTGATCAAAGAGGCAGGGCTGATCAGCAGCCCCCATGTAGGCCCAGAGAGAAACAGAGGCATGGCTGCTGCTGAAGCCAGGAGAGAAAGATAGAGGCAATGGCTGATCAACAGCTGCCATGGAGGCTGGGGATCAGGCCTTGCCTCTCTCTGCAGGCCTCTCTCTGGGCCTGATCCAGAGCCCCCTTGGTAGTCAGTGCCATGGCAACCTAGCATTGACTTCTGGTGTTTGGTGGAGCCCTGGTCATTAAGGACCCTGGCTTGCTCTCTATATTAAGTAAAACCAATTTTAAAAGTTTATAAGGAGACTCAATTGTGCATTGCTGGTGATTACTTACTTTATTAAAAAAAAAAAAAAAAAAAAAAAAAAAAAAAAGGCAAGAGAGCTCTGGCAGATGCTGCCAAATGGTTAGAGTGTGAGCCTGTGCACAGGAGGTTAGCAGGTTTGATTTTGCGTCAAGGGCATATATTAGGTCTAGTAATAATTAATGTCGTTTTCTAATACTTTTTTAAATCGAATTTATTTAAACAATACAACAAAATTTAATCAACAATATAGTTGCCGTTGTTTTCTACTACTTGTGCCCAACGCTCAGGAAGCATTTTAATCCCTCTGTTGTAAAATTCTTGTGATTTTGATGCAAAAAATTTGGTCAATGCATTTTTGAGGCATTCTTCATTATTAAATTTTTTTCCAAGAAGAAAGTTTTGCAAAGAACGAAACAAATGGTAATCGGAAGGGGCAATATCAGGAGAATATGCAGGTTGAGGGAGAACTTCCCATTCCAACTGGTGCAGTTTTTCAGCAGTGATTCTTGCAGTATGCGGTCGTGCGTTATCGTGGTGAAGAATTACGCCCTTCCGATTAATCAGCGCGGGTTCTTTTTCTCTTAAAACTTGGGCTACCCTTTCCAATTGGGCACTATACACTGCACTTGTAATGGTTTGGGTAGATGATAAAAGTTCATAATGAAGAATTCCTTTAAAATTCCACCAAACACACATCACTTTTTGCGCATGCAAGTCAGGTTTTGGCGTGGGCTGCAGAGCCTCATTTTTGTCCAACCATTGAGGTCGCCTTTTCAAATTAACATACAGCACCCACTCTTCATCTCCGGTAACAATTTGCTCTAAAAACGGCAAACGGTTTTGATGAGAGAGGAGCGAACTGCAAATTGTGACTCTTTGATTAAGGTTGTTGTCGGTCAACTCATGAGGAACCCATTTTCCAAACTTTTGGACTCTGCCAAGTGCACGCAAATGATTGGAAATTGTTTTTTCTGAACAATTTAAAGTTGTCGCAAGCTCTTGTTGGGTAATTTGAGGATTTTGCACCAAAAGAGCTTGAAGAGCTTCTTGATCAAAATTGGGCACACGGCCTTGACCACTCTTGTCATCTAACGAAAAATTTCCCTCGCGAAATTTCTCAAACCAACGCTGGCATTTTCTGGCGCTAACTGCATCTTGACCAAGAGTACTACAGATGTTTTTTGCAGCCTCACTTGCTTTTCTTCCTAATTGGAACTCGTAAAGCATGCAGTGCCGAATATGCTCTTCATCCGCCATCTTCTTAGCCCTAGTTTTGCAACAAAAACCAAACCAAACACAAACTTTTTCAAGCAAAACTTGTTAATTGCACTTCACACGTTCTGTAGATACCACGTGTTTGAAGGTTATGTCAATACAAGTCAACACCAAGCAAGATTTTAAACGAATGTTTAAAACGACATTAATTATTACTAGACCCGATACCTGGGTTGCATGTTCCAGGCGTGTTCAGGAGGCAACCAATTGATGTTTCTTTCCCTCTCTATCCCTCTCTTCCACTCTCTCTAAAAAATTAATGGGAAAAAATGGAGTGAAGATTAACAATAGCAACAAAAGGCAAGAGTGAACAGTTACATTTTCAAGGATATAGCCATAAAGATTCAGAACCAACACCACTGGGTATAGGCAGAGTTAAGCAACAAACCAGCCACTAATATTAATAACAGCATCTCCATAATTCCACTCTATAAAAGAACAGTTTTCTTTGTTTGGCTATGGTTGATTTTGAAATGTTGCCAAGAATCAAAATTTCAATCTTCTTCCATTATTAATCAAGTTTTATGTCTACATAGATGTCGATATGAACACTTTTCAGT